CCGTTACTTGAATTGTGTCCCCACATTAATGACAGTATTTGAATGGAGGACAAGAGTAAACTAAGAGGAGTGCAACGGAGATTCACCAAAAGACTGATGAAAGATAGAACTGACATTTCTTATCATGAACCTCTATGGTCTAAAAGACCGAAGTCGAACCTGAACGTTATTTCCGGAATTCTTAGAGTGTTGATATATTTCCCCAACCGAACATCGACTGGGCACCCCTAAAAAATACAACCTCAGTCACAAGGCTTCTACTCTGAACATCGCACGCTGCCCCAATAAATTCAGGTCAGACTTCTCTATCATAGAGTACAGCATTGGCTGGGACCAATCCCCTTTTTAGATAAAAAAAAGTGTCGCCCCACAACAGTTTTCATCCCTTCTCAGCGAATACTTTGTAGAATTCAATCTAGTAGCAATATATGACACACTGAAGATACGCGACATCACTAGACATCCTTTCGATTTATGCGGTTGAACGCTACATCGCTTTCTGATTTTTTATGATGGTGTGGAACGTGGTGATGGGGAGAAGACTTGGAGGAGAATGGTTGAACGCCTGGAGGTGGAGTTTGACAGACCAGTGGACAGGAAGCTGGCGATGCAGCAGTTCCGCAGCACGAAACTGGGAATAGACGAAGATCCACTTGTGTTGGCCATGAAGTTGACCAAACTAACTCGACGAGCACTTCCCAAGTTGGATGAAGACTGCCAACAACAGTTGCTGGCTGCACAGTTCACTGAAAGTGTCCCGAACGCCATTGTCCACCAGCTACGACTAGTCAAGGAGTCAAATGGGAAATATAGATTCTGTGTTGATTTCCGGGAGCTAAATAGCATAACGCAAATGAAGCCTGTGCCATGTCAACGATAGCTGTGGCACTGGATAGTTTGCAGAAAGCAAAAGTATTTACAGTTCTGGACCCCTGCTCAGGCTACTGGCAGCTGCCAATAAAAGAAAGCGATGAAGAGAAAACAGCATTTATTGTGGGCAAGAAGCAATACCAATTCAAGTGAGTGTCATTTGGTCCTGCAGGTGCACCCTTCACATTAAGATGGTTGATGTTGTTGCTGAAGAATTTAGAGAACGCAGAGGTGCACGGCGATGACCTGGTGGCGTACAGTCAGACGGAGGCAGAAGATATAGGTCACCTAGAAGCTGTTTTAAGACCTATTGGTGACCCTGGACTTCGCATCAATAGGACCAAATCTCAGGTAGCCAAGGAGAGTGTTACATTGCTAGGACATAAAACTGGAAATGTGATGTCAAACCATTACCCGAGAAGATTCTCGGTGTTAAAACCATCCCATTGCCGAATTCCAAGAGGAAACTGCGACAGTTCTTGCGAAGAGCAGCATTCTGCAGTCGGTTCCTCAAAAAGTCCAATGAGATGGCAGCAACTTCATATGAGGTACTTGGCAGCCCAAAATTCGTGTGGACGGAGGAGGCACGAGAAGCGTTGGATCACATCGAGGAACTCTTAAATGACCAGGAGATGACGTTAAAACTACCAATGCCTGGGAGGCCATTTGTCGTGTCCACCAGTGCAAGTGATTACGGAATAGGCACAGTCCTGAGACAGACTGAGCGAGTAGTGGAGTATGTCAGCCGTGTCCTAACACCCGCAGAACGGAAACATTCTACAGTGAAAAAAGAATGTCTGACGATGGTTTAGGCGCTTGCGAAATGGAGATCGTACCCCCTTGGTCAATGACTCCATATTGAAACTTGTCATAAACCCCTACAGTGGCTTAAGACAGCGAGAGACCCAGGAGGAAAATTATCACGTTGGGTGTTACGACTGCAAGAATATGACTTCACCATCGGCCATGTGGCAGGGAAAGAAAACTGGTTGGTAGACTTCTTATCAAGATCAGACGAAGAAAATGAGCTGCCTGAGATGGCATATGGTGTGCATGCAGTGGAACGGGACCCATTAAGACTTACCTTCAGAAGTCGGACCCAATACTGAAAGAAGTGATAAAAGCCATAAGTGGAGGAACGGAGACACAAAAGACTGGGAAATAAAGAGTTGAGAACGTTGTTGATAGAGAACGAACGCCCACAGCCGAATACTTATGGAATACTGACGTGGCGAGAAAACGGCGGAAGCTGGTTGGCAGTGATTCCGAAATGTCTACGCTACAAGAATGCCACCGGTCTGCTCATACAGGTGTTTCACGGACAGCTGACCTTCTCAGACAAAGTGCGTGTTGGCCAAGTGCGAGAGATGTTGCTAAACACGTGCTGGGTTGTCCTAATTGTCAGCTGATGGAAGGTGATCGGTATGTGCAGCCGCCGCTTCAGTCAGTTCCAGTAGCAGCAGTCGGTGACCTGTAGTCTTTAGACATCTAGTGGCAACCAATACCTGTTGGTGATGGAGCACGCTACACGATGGGTAGGCGCCGTCGTGATTCCTGATCAACGCGCGAAGACAGTAACCGCAGCGGTGATGCGGCATATTATCGCGGATCACGGTGTGCCGCAGATGGTACCGACCAACCAAGGTCCTGCTTTCGAAAGTAAAGAATTCAAATTCTGTTTAGGGCGGCTTGATGTCAAGAGGATGAGAAAGACGCCGTACCACCGGCAGACTAACAGTCTGACAGAACGGTAATACCTGGGCCAGCACTTAGAAAGGAGCTTGGCAGGTATGTACATCAGGTTTTATAGTCATTGTGTTTACGGATAGAAGTAACCTCATTCACTCATACTTTGCACAAGTTTCCTGCGCTTGCCCTAATTTTTTTCAGGTCAGAAGAAGATTGAAGAAATGCCTTACATTATCGTGAAGACAACAGTGATTGGTAAACTAATGATACCTTGACATTTTATACCACATTTTAACCTTCATCATCGCTTCATCTGATCAATGGAACAATCTTCGTGCACAATTATTATTGGTTTCTTTGTCTTTCTCCCATTTTCCTCACTCTGTTCACTTCATGCAGGTTTACGTCGAAACCATACGTTGCCAGAGGTCGTTTCTAGTGGAGGCTGATGTGTCGCCCAGTAAACTTGGCTACGATTTCTATGTCGTGAACTTTATATTCATTATTGGCTGTTATTGAATGACAAATAACCTTTTAGGTATTGTTCTGGTGCGAACTTGACGGGTGAAGAGGCCAGTCACTAATTATTCGAACTTGTTATATATCCACGAGCACGAGACCAAGGAAGAACACAATAGCGTGGTCGGATGGACTAGTATATTTGGATGGTTGCGCCAATATACCGATGCCTTCCAGCTGACTGGCTAGAGAGTCGATTACGAGCAGTGCAACGTAACGCGACACAGTGCCGAATGGCGTGGATGCTTGACCAGGGGCCTTCAGCTTAGCGAGTCCAGTTAAACTATCAAGGTCAGCATCAGTGTTGAATGTCGTCAAACCCTGGGCTATTGATTTTGGGGAAGTGTGTGACACTATAAGCTTTAATTTCCATGCTGAATTTTGCCCGCTTTACTTGCCCATCAGAGTTCCTGGAATAAAGACGTTGTACTTTTGCCACTGCTTTCTTATTTGTCACGTTATGGTTGCCTAAAGGGGATTGTCCTGGGCGTTAGCCGCAAGCCTGTGGGTCCGACAACCGAAGAGTAGTTTTGACCACGTTTGGAGAACCAAGGGCTGCTCGGAGAAGCCTGGGAGTACGAACGGTCGAGAGTTGGGGCAACGTTGGAAGGTAGCTAGTCTTTTCGGCTCTCACATCGAATTGGAGTTTGTTCACTAGATATCCCCACCGATTCGTGCCATGCACAGTAGACCTTTTGAAGGAGAACTTGCTGAGGGCTGGGCGTTTTTGCAGATAGACTACGGGAGCAAGCTCCTCAAATTTTACATGATCAGTCAATAAGGAAGAGTCGCTTTCCCTAACTCTAAAGAGTGCCAGCAACCTAAGGTTAACGCTGTAGTTTAACTTTTGGGGGTTAAGTCCTCTTTGTGAATGCGGACCCAAATTTCTGTTTAGGTTCTTGGGATTGACCCGCGGGACCTGAGTTGTAAACTGCGGGAGTTGCTCTTGGGATTGACCAACGCTGGTGACAAATGTAGATGGTTTCAGCCATGCCTAACAGGTAACGAGGCTAGGATCTACTCTTTTCAGATCGTTTTCCACTCGAGTGGGGAGAGAATTGGTCAACTTAGGAGTCGGCCCCTCGCTGGGCAGAGTAGGAGCAGCTATTTTGCCGGGCTTGAGACTGGTTCCAAAAGTTTCACCTTCGACAACTCTAACCTTCTTACATTTCTTCGAACCTTTCTTTCGACGCTTATCAAACTTGGGATTCATATTCATCACCGAGGGCGTCTGCTTCAGAGGCATTCTAACAGGGAGGCAGTCCCTGACCATGGTGATATTTTTCTCACCTCCATTAACGCGAGGGATACTGACACTGGTTATTAAAGGACAACCGCACACAATTTTACAACCTTCATTACTGATAAAACTAGGAATCTTTTTGAGACGGTGAAACTTCTGCTTGAAATTAGTTTGCGTAGGGAACTCAGCTGTAAAGTGATCAGAGTTCAGTCTGACTAACTCCCGACCTGTATGGCATACACGTTTGGTCCTACAACATGGATAAAAGTACCAAAACCCACCAAACGGGCTATTTAGCAGCGCTTCATAATAACCTGACGGCTGGCTAGTGTCTCAGGAGCAGTGAGTCCATTGTAAGCAAAACTCACTACCCATCGCTGGAGGCGAACAGCTGGAATTCCTGCCACAAGACAGGCAGATGTTTTTGAAGACTGCCACTATACAAAATGAAGGGTAGATATGTGTGTGGTTAAGGGGAAACTGAACATCAACCCAGTAAATACAACAAATTAAACGAAATTTCTCAAACCCCACTGTCCTTCTTCAAAGCGCATGCGAAGTAGAGTTTGAAAATGTCTTTGAGTTCGTTGCTGTTGGTCAGTGCAATGAAGCTGATAAAATGACTAATTTCAATGAACAGGTGCCTACACGTTAAAACAAAACATGCTGACCAGAGAAAGGAACTCACAACAACAAAGATTACTTGGCTATTACGTAGATATTTTAAATGTCTATCTATATATTGTAAACGTGGCAGTATTTGATGCAGAGATAGTGCATCGTAGTTCAATCGGTTAACCGCGATTTATAATCGGTCTCCGGCCTCTACAACGTCATGGCTGACGAACCAGAAGAGAAACTGCATATATCACACCCTCCAGCAGGTATGTGGCAATAAATTATTACACCAAGGTGTTCAGTAAAAGCTGGTGGAATGAGAATCGTGACGCATGCTAGAGAGCGTGAAAATGAAGAAGCGCATGAGCCAGAAATTTCGACGCAAGCTGGAGAGATCAATCATAAGTAGGTTTTCGAAACCATTATCCAATTACATAACAGTTACGGAGTTGTGCCACATGATCTTATCGCCAAGGTGAGTTTTGTGATTCTTATTTAGTATTCCTTTCTTTATTTTGGTTCTCGAAAACCAAAGCCACGATCATGGTGGGGTCCGAGATCCTCTCTTCATACGCGTCTGAATGACACTGTGAGGACACAGTTGTGTCGAATATTGCAATTCAAAGCTACCATGAACATTATTCCAGGACAAACCATACATCTCACGACGTCCGGATTTGTCAGATTCACAGTTAGTGAGTGGTTGAGTGTAATGCATCGGAATCCACCATATACTGAGGACCACTCAGCACGGCAAGGGAACTCGAATGAAGTCAACTGGTTCATACTAGCTCTTAAAACAAAATATTTCTAGACTATCCAACTCCATTTTTGAAGGGTGATGTTCTTAACTATGTTTTGGGCATCTATTAGCTCGCTGTTTTAAGGCAACATATTGTAGATAAGTAGAAGTAGTATGGTAATTTTCCCATGGTCTACTATCTTGAACTAACGCCCTACGTCTATTCCGAGAAATATAAGTTTGAAATGGTTGCTGACGAGATAGAAGCTTCTGCTTAACTGATTTGCGTCTAGAACCAGTAGATCAATTCCAGCGGTTGTTAACCTGCGTACAAATAAAGAGAAAAGTGGCAGTTATGATTTGAAAATCAAATTAATTTCGAGTGGGCTTCCATACACATCTTGGGTCGGCGCTTAAAGAATTCAGGTAAAGTGGTCTAGTCCACCTCTGTGGGAAGAACTTTGCAGGATCAAACTGTTAGGGGGAAGTGGTTGGAGGCTCTTGGCGATATGGCTCAGTGCCGACGTCAGTGGCACAGATGTATACACACATCATCCTCATCTTAACGACATAACGAATCTCACCATTTCCTCACTCTTCCTTTCTCACCTTTAGTACTTTATATTTTTTTGGGCTGAGTTTTCGTCATCTTCCACTTCACTGCCTTTTTACTTGATGTACTGGTATGAGGTGGCAGCTCTGACCGTTACTCAGTAATGCCTGGCCCTATGTTAATTTGGTTGGATGATGGAGTAATTGCGACTGAAACTTAGCTTGTTATGTTCTAGGCTTATTTTTTTTGTGCGCCCTCTAAGATAAGGGTTAAAACTAAGGTTCAATAAGTGATGAAGTGGGTGTCTAGATGGGCTTGAGGTATTGTGAGCCATTAACAAGTCACTTAGTATTCTGTATTCAAGAGGATATAGATCGAGTACCACCAGTCTTTCTTACGTTCCGGACCTAAGCCCTCGAGTAGATTTGATTCACCGTCTTTGGATGCAGCCTAGGTTTGATTTATCTTTCTGCAGCGTGTGTGTGCGGAGTTGAGACTATATTCTCGAACTCCAGGTGATGCCGTATAAAACTGCTAAACATTTGATGCAAACATCGGTCAAATTGTCCAAGAGTTCGTCTAAGAGTTACTAACGCCATGTTTTCATCTCATCTGCGAAACGAGACTAGAAAAAACCTGTTGAGACAAATTGTTTATGTATATTAGAAAAAGAAAAGACCCTAGTACCGAACTCTTAGGAACTCCACCAAGACATTGTCTCTTCAAGCATAGTAATAAATAAATAAACGGTTATGTGGATATGAGTACAACCACTCAATGAGCGGTGGCATACTCCTGACCAATCTTAATTCGTCTATAAGGCAGTTGTGAAAAACGCGATCAGATGCTTTGAAAAAGTCTAGTTAAGTGGCATCACTTCTGCTTCTAAAGTCAACAGTACTAGTCCATCTGTCTACTGCGATGAGTTACAATACCCTTTTCTAAATTTCTGTTGTTGTTTTTTAGTTGTCATGAGATGATCTCTCAGTTCTCCATTATTTGACAGCAGGATCACTTTGTAATGCATGGATGAAAGCGTCACCAGTCTATATTTCCTAGGGTCAGTTCATCAGCCTTTGAAGATTGACGTCACTTAACTCCCAGAAATTCTGCACTTTGCCTTGACTCAGAGAATCCTTAAATAACTTACTTGAAGGAATGTTATTGCCTGTATTACTTGGAGGTTCAGTCAGGATTGGTGGCTCTTGCTTACAAAACTGCTGGATGAATTTTATTTGCTCCCGCAGAGGTATCTATTGTAAGAAGCAACTCACTAGCTCAACGTTTAAATTAGCGATCGACAGCCCTACTTCGTTTGGGAAATATCTGTTAAGTCCTAAACAGGTAGTTGATAGTGAAAAAGCTTCCAAATACTGATCAGCCAGGTGTTCGGCTGCTTTAGTGTATACTAGACATCCCATTAGGCGCTAGTGGTTGAGATATTTCCACTTTGGCCAGTCAGAATGATGTAGCGTAAAGGAATAGATTCATATTGGAAACCCAACCTGATGCCTTTACTGATCGGTTGTTAATACCTTCGTGTATGTTTCTTGTTTGTTCGAATAGCCATTCTTTTTTGTTCGGCTTAGTGGTGTTTTTTAACCTAGGTAGTTAACCAGTAGAATCACATTGCTTTTGATGACCTGCAGCACTTCGGTGTTGAAAGTGGTACAGACTAGCTGATAGAATGCATGATTTTATCAAGTATTAATCTCTAATGGATGTACGCATCCTACCATACATGCTAGCTTCCTAATCCTTCTGTTCCAATGCCATCCGAACAGCTGGAGTGATCAGTCGCCTAAATGTTGGGTTAGTTTGGTTTTGCGGACATACTGGAGGCCGACAACATCATAGTCGCTCCTACTCAAAGGAGGGAGGACTACTAGTTTATATACGTGAGATTGCCTAACTATTCTCGCTTTATGTTTCTTCCCTTACTGTACTTATATCATCTCTTGATCGCTTCATGAACTTCAGTGGACATTCCTTGCCCACTCAACATTTCTTCCCAATCATACGTAGTTCGCGAACATATGTCACGAAAGTGTTGGTACTTCTACTTATCTCTTATATCAGCAATGACTAGCGTTAATAACTGGCGTTCCAGATATCCAACTTGCAAAATTATTTGTTTGAGCATCGAATTAGAGTCGGAAAAAGGTGTCCATTACTAACTGGCTTCCAATTCTAACATACAGAACACTTCAGCGAAACGTAACCTTCCAAATAATAACTTAAAAAGATAATGTCCTTCCGAATCACTATCTCATAGTGGTTTACAGGAGTACGTTATCTAGTGAGAAATGCATGACACTCTCGTCGCCACAGCAACTTACCGTTCTGTCGGTACCTTGTGACGAAGAACAGGCTAGAAAGTGAGATCATTTGTGATAAACTGAAGCTTTCGGACCGACTATCAACTTATGACCTAACTTTACTGCTTATGTGTCTTAGGTATCACACCCCATGTCAGTACAACAAGCAAGAAAGCACGAAAATGAGAAAATAAAGTCAAAAGTGGTGGAAAGTTATCAAAGAAGGGAAAAGAAAGAATACTCAACTTCAGTATAATGATTAAGATGAAGATAATGTGTAGAGATGCATCTTCTCTACTGAGGTCGATTCTAAGCCATATCATCCAGAGTCTGCGAGAGTTCCTTTGAAGTTGAGCGATTCATCGACGAAAGAATCAGAGGAGGCTTACCAGTTTACTGATGCAACATGTTATCTGATAGCAAGTGCCTACTCACCGAAAATTCGGACGAGTTTAAATACTCTTGTAAGCCTCTATGTCACATGCTGTGAATTCAAAAGATAGAATGTCAAGGCTAGATATATTATTAAATATCTATATGAATATGAGGTCTAGTAGTGACAGACCTTAACCAGAGGGGAGACGTACTCATGGGAACGTGCTATACATTGACATTTTTACTACAAATTATCTCTCATAATCATATCAAATGTCACATAAGTGATATTGTATCATTGTACCCTTTCCCGCTGTTCGTGGTGAATTTTGTAAAGTAACTACTTATTTGCATGTTGCGCTTACAAAGAGAAACAGCGGAATATGTAACTCCCATATGAAACATTAGGTTTTCGGTGTAGTTATTTCAAGCGAAGTTGTGGATTTTGATTTCTTAAGGTGATGCAGACGTGGTGCACAGGTTAACTGGTACATTACTTGAGAAACGACGTATTTAAGATGATGATGGAAACGGTGTCCGCTTTTAAATTCACCCATTGCTTGTCTGAGCAGTATGTAGAACTGGTTTCGATTGAATTTAGAAATCAACAGTTGAAGACCGCTGATTTGTTCTGGACACCTGTTGCTGGAAATACTGGCTCCATTTTTTGACTGAATTTGTAAGATTTCAATTTGTTCGAGTCCTTAAAGATGCTTAGAATAATTTGTTTCCTCTTTTTGTAGGATGAACTGAAGTTTCATGATAAAGGCATTAAATTCCGTCAGGATAAGCCTACACCAAAAGTTACGAAGTCACATGACGATGGTTGTTCACATCGGGTTATCCAACAACCATTAAAATAAAAGCCTTCTATCTTAAAAGAAATGTATTTTCTTGTAATTTCTTTTTCGTAAATAAAACAAATCAGTAATATCCAATTTAAAGTTTCTTAACAGTTCCATGTTATTGGATTAACTGTTTTTGGTGGTAAACTTTTGCAACGATTAAGAGGTGATTGTCCCGAATCAGTGCACACACTTCTGCTCGAATGATTTGGACTAGGTGAATTTATCTGATTGTATTTTTTTGTTCGTTCGTCACTTAATCCATTGGTTATCGGTAATGGAGTTGGTCTAGGTGATAATCCAAGTTGGCATATTGTCATTGTTTCGCTTAACCATTCTGGATGTATTATATAGTAGGGTGCTTTAGTCCTGTTATTCATATGAACATTGAATAATCCTCCCCTATGTTCTGTCCTTGCACTGGAAGTCTCACTCCTACCTCTTCGCGGTGGAGATTCTCCTCGGTAACCTGAGATCAAGTTGGTTCGACCATACTGGCGTTGTTGGTTAAGAGGAGGTGTACTTTGTTGTGTTTGGCAATGATATCTGGTATTATCAACTTCTTTTGAGATATCAGATTGGTGCAATATGTCTTTGGTGTCTCTTCGTGTTGTGAGTGGAGTTTTAGTATGTTGACTGTTAATGGTTGGGTTTCTGAAAAGTAAAATCAATAAGTATTATCATTATTAAATTAACGCTTTAATAGTACGGACACAAGATATATCAGAATTCTGCCATTAAATTAAACATGTTTCTTTTGATTCAGTATTTAGTCTTTAGCGTGCTCGAATAGTTATTACTATGGTTGGATCTTGGCTAAAAACGTTCATCCCATCAAATTTGCTGGTAATTTGTAGAGATTATGAGGGAAGGAGCTCAAGGCAAGATATTCACATATTAGCCTATACGAAATAGTTTGAAACCGTGTTCCACTTTGTAAGATAAGTTTAATCGTATCATATTTATCGAGCTAATGTCAATCATTTCTAGTCTAGTCATTTTATCCACAGTAAAACCTTATTAAAAGTGATTAGACCTAAAGCATAACACAAAAATAACATTGTAGTGGGTGCTGCTGATCAGAATAGATATAAGTAGTATGTGTTGAAAGGGTGACAGAAATCATAGGCAATTACCAACAATAGGTAAAAATTCTACCCAGAGAAACGCAAGAGACAATGTAGGCCTATTGAGAGCAAATCGAGATAGAAGCAGAAGAGGAAATGAAGCACATTATGCAAATGACTGTCTTAGTGGAAAGTGTACACTATTTGATGACTACTATACAGTGGTAATAATAAGCCTTCCTTCTTCTCCGTCTTATTCTTTGTCTACAATTGGTGTCGCTGCTTCTGAACGTGATGAAGATTCCATGACCTGTAGTATCCGAGGATGGAGACATCAAGGTCTTCCTCAGGGACTTCGAGTCGGCCGCGAAGCTGGTGAGTGTCCAAGAGCGAAGGTTGTGGTGCTCGGCACGTTGCTGACGGGTAGGGCGAAAACAGCATACAACAGCGTGGAACGTGTGGATGGTAAGCAAACTTGACAGAGAATGGTTGGATGTCTGGAGGCAGACTTTAACAGCCCATCGGGCAGGGAGCTGGCGATGCAGCAGTTTCGTAGTACAAAACTTGAAATAGACGATAACCCGCTGGTATTGGCTATGAAGTTGACAAAACTACTTCAATGAACACTTCCCCTTTGGATGAGGACTCCCAAGAGCAGTTGCTTGCTGCACAGTTCACCGGAAGTGTCACGAATGCCACCGCCCAGCAGCTACGACTAGTGAAAGCAGCCCAACCTATGATCATTAGTGAGCTGGCGAAAGTAGCTAATAGGTACAACAGTGGCTGCGGTGGACTCACCAGAGGTAAATAATTGTAGAAAACTATAAGACGGTGACATTGTACGTCAGTCACCAACTTTTGTACGCTTCCCGCTAGCACAGTCATTTGCATAATGTGCTTCATTGCCTCTTCTGCTTCTATCTTGATTTCGCTCTTAATACGCCCACATTGTCTTGCGTTTCTCTGGGCAAAATCTTTGCATATTGTTGGTTATTGCCTATGATTTCTGCCACCCTTTCAACATATACTACTTATATCCATTCTGATCAGCAGTGCTCACTCCAGTATTACGGAGATGTATGATTAAGGTTAGTAAAGGGAACAAGACATATGGGCGGACAATATTGTTTTCAGTTAGATCCTCTTCAGGCTTTGCTCTAATACAAATTACTAAATATACATAGGAGTAAAATTGGACACTGGTAGGTCGTAATTCCATTTCAGACTGTTTATTAGAAATGTTGCACAGTGAAACGTTATCCAGTAAATGATACTGTTTCACTGTGTGGCGTTTCTAGGAAACCAATCATGTATATTTGTCGGTTAATATGATAAATGTTTTAAAATAACAATGATGATTATAATACAAACAGTAAAAATGATAACGTTGACTAAAATAGTTGTAATATAGATGATGCTGATGATAGGAACCAAGAAAACAGCATAATTTTTAAGTATTCCCTAGTTCAATAGAGAGATAAGGAACGCGCAAACTTCTTATGGATACAAAGACTGGAAAATGGGAAAACTAGATACCTTTTCTTTTATCTAAGCAACAACAATTGGTCGGCTGGAAGATGATAGTGTTGTGAAGCGTAGAAAGTCCCCTTAATGATTTCAGAGAGCTTTTGGTATAAAACTTCCTTGACTACATCGCCATTAAATTGCGCTTCCATGAATACCAGTTTCTTTTAAACGAGGATAATTCCTGGTTTATTTCTCTTCACTTTCTCCATGTTGTATTATATAAAACTGTTAGGGTAACCCATTTATATCAGTGAGTTACAAATATATTCTAATTCCTTATATGTTAAATCATCCGAACATATTCCTCTTCATCTGTTAGTGAGGCATTTAAACAGGTTTGTGTTTGTACCGAATGGATATGTGACTAAGAGAATGTGTATACTTCCTGTAAACATGTCTGCTGAGTGAACCACCCCTTCCAAAAAGTGTAGTTTACCAGCAATTTCTTCACAAGTGAAAGTGGGTGAAGGGTGCACTTCATTAAATGTTCTCATCTCCATATTCTGATCCAGGATAATGAATATGTCGTCAATACAACAGTGATACATATTCAACTCATTAACGAGATTCTTCAATGCTCCTTTCTCTAGTTTAGCAAGAAATATATCAGCTAAAATAGGGTCAAGTGGTGAACCCATAGCTATCCCATCAATCTGTGTATTATGTATGCCATTGAAGACAAGATATACATTTATAATACATTTAAGAAGCAACTCTTTGAGGTTGTGCACTGGAATCCCGTTTCTGATTTGCCTTTCTGATATCTATTGACACACAAACTCTACCATCTCCAATAATGGCGCATTAGTGAGTAAAGGAGACGTTAAGCAATATCATATACTTTCTGCTTACATTCACATTATCTAGCTTAGAAATAAATTTACACTGGGGTGAACTGCGTAACTTTTATTTCTTCAAGATTTTGATACATTTTAATTGCCGGAGAGCGTACGTTATCCTACTGTTATCTTTATTAATAATATACACTTTATTCCAAACAATTTTTGGTACAAATTGGGATTCTCAGCATGATATATTGCAGCAACAACAAAATATATGTGTATGTATATATCCTCCTCTACAACATTTCGAATAGTGTTATCATAAAAACCTAAGTAATGTAGAGAATATTAATCACGAGATGTCGCATTGTTAATTAAATTATTGAAATGAGATTGTTAACTGTTACAAAGTTGATAATGCGAGTTCTATTCTAACACCTTTTTCCTCACATAATATGCATACTAAGTAAGGTACAGTCGAATTCTTGTGTTTAGCTATACGAGAGTACAGTCTGATGTAATAATTTTCTTCTTGTTCTCCGTGAGAGGAGATAAAAAGAGAGAGTTGTGAATGAAGTGAGTGCTCAGTGTCAGTTAAAATTACTGAAGGTAGTTACTTACTAAAATTTAAATGTCTGTCAACTACAGTATTAATCAATTTAGCCACAGGCACAGCACTCACCCTACTGACTGACAGCTTTCAAAGTTCTACACAATATAACATAGTCCCTTTTTAGTAGACGAGAAAAGATTAATGGGGAACAATAGAGAAGAATAGGTAAAATACAGGAATTAATAAATTGTAAAAGAAGAGGTTGAGTTATTGCAGACAGCCTCAGTTTCTTTATGTAATATGTTAAACGAGAGATATTTTAACAAGTCAACAAGATATGAGATGACCAACAAAGATCAGAAGTAAATCTCAATCTGAGATGGTTAACGCTCGATTTACTTTGTGCAGAAATACCATCAATGCAGTGGGCATCGTGGGACTTAAACAGCTCACACAAGTCTTGTTTACACCTGAGGCTAAAATTAACAGTCTGACATTTAGTGAAGGGTTTAACTTGAGACCATTCGAGAGAGACCACTAGTTAAAACGAGACAAGAATCCATTTAATCGAGAGCAATGTAAGTGAGAGTTTACTGGAATAGAAACCGTCAGACCATCAGGATACTTAATAAGATTAGTTTCAACCGAATAATGTAAATCATGCAAAAAGAACGAAAACGGAAGTGGAGAAAGTACTGCGGTATGAGGCATACCAGCTTCTGTAAGCAATGAAGTCGAGCGCCTTCCCTTATAGATATTATATTTTTTCTTTTCAGAAAAACAAGAATACAGCCACTTTGTAACTCACAGCTCAGTATGAGCTATGGCAAGCTTATTTAACAAGAGTGGTCTAGGAACAGAGCCAAAGGCTGATGAGTAATCCAAGAAGGCACAACAAACATGCTTAACACCTTTGTGTAGACCAGAAACAATGTTGTGATGCAAGACAATAACAGCATCCTTAGTACTCCTCAATGCGTTTGTAAGCAAATTTTCTGGATCTCTGAAAGCCTTCAGTGTAGGTACAAGCACACGGAGAAGTAATTTCTCCATTGTCTTCAAACAGGGTAAGTTATAGCGATGGGTTGAAACGTAACATCTGATGCAGAAGATGACTTAGGCACAAGTACAACTTTGATCTCCTTCCAAGCAGTTGGTATTGTGTTTTTAGAAAGTGATGCATTGAAGATATCTGTAAGGGGATGACATAAAATCTCTGCAAATTTTGTAAATATACTCGAAATACCATTAGGACCTAAGCTTTGGGATGCATTCAAGGATTTAAGACATTTAAATACGTCATTTGTATTAAAACCAGGAAAGCAACTATCCATTTGACTATGTACATTAGGAAGGATGTAATGTTTGCCGACGTATAAATGACTTGTTTAACGCGCAGACATCCGAACAAGCTTCTACTAGTAAGCTCTTTAAATAATTTCCATATACTGGAAGAGTTCTGAGACGATAGAAACTTCTGGATGTAAATAGTACTCCAGACTTAATTAGACAGTTAAGTCTTTTAACGGTAGGGTGATCTCTCGTCTTATATAGCCTTTCCTTTTCTCTGCAGAGCCTGTTTAGATGAGGAGAGGAAAGTGTGTCGAATCTCATGTAGATTATTTCAGCAGGGCAGAAAGTGAGATAACTTGTAATATTGGTGATAGTATTGCCTAGAACTTTATCCACAAATATGTTGCAGTCTGTTTCTTTAAGTATGCTTCT